TTTGTAGTTCTATTTCATTCATTCCACTTCTTTTTTTTATAGAAAGACGTCCAAACCTTGTCGCAAACGGCTCGATCAAGTGCAGCTCGACGAAGTTTAAACGCATCTACATCTCCAGTACTTGCTCCACGATGCCGCAGTCCAAGTCGTGGTGGAGGCGTTGGAGGCAGTGTCCCATTAACCACGAGAACCACAGCACCCATTGGAGTGCCGTTGAGGTGAGAGGATAAACTTCTGTGGAATTTCTGCCAAATTATAGGCAGCAACCCGGCTAGCACAGCCTTCTATTGTTCAGCAGCAGAAAGCTTCTTTTAACGGGCTTTAGTGATCCTCAGCACTCACCACGAGTTTGTTGAAGTGAAAAAGCCTGTGTAAAACGCCATTATTCGAGGGCCAGTTGAAGGCCTGAGAACTCGATTGACTTGCTGAGGAGCTTCGTGGCATATTAGTGCATTACTGGATTTTCTCTAAGATGTCCTCATTTTCTACTTTTGAAGCGAACTTCTCCGTAATGCAATTGACACGTTACAGATCGTATTCATCACGAGCTGGAAGTTCGCTAATGGCGCCGCAACACGACAATCGTCGATGGTCCCTGGCATCGTTGCCATCAACTAGCGGTTATGGCACCCCAGGGAGCAATTCGGCGTTTTCGGTAAGGATGCAAAAGTTGTTCGATTGCGGGTCGGGAGATGGATGATCATGTTCAGAGCCAATATTCATCATCCGAGCATTTATCCGAGATGTTGGAGTGTATGCGAGTTGGTGCAGCCCGTTTCGACAGCAATGACAGCTGCCCATCTGCAGAAGATGCGATGAATATGAGCTTTAGACCAAGGAGTAGGAGCTTGACGTAAGTCAATGAAAATGTAAAGCTCGTATGCAACATTACTATGTTGTGATCAACAGGGTGATTCGCTCTATACATGATAAATGATTGAACTTTGAATAACATTTATAAATGACAGGGTTTTTTTTCACAAATTTCTACAGTTGTTTGAGCAGGAGAATCCTATAACGTCGTTATCGTTTTCATTGAAATTCAGGAGATGCTACCCCATATAAGGCCATATAGTAGAAATCTGTCTTATCTGCCAAAATAATGACTCCATCAAGTATATGATTCATATCTTTCGATAGAAGCAACTGTCTTCCGTAATTTTATTCTATATCGTTAATTCAAGTGATCCTACTATTGATTATTCACTTTTAGCAGCCCCATCAAGCTGAACTCCGAGTTTTCCTTGGATGTCGTGAATCGCAATAATGTCTATAAAGAACGATTTCCAAAGGTACCCCTTTTTTGGTTTTTTATTTTGAGAGGAGAAACAGCATCTGACGAAATGGCTCCTTGATTCGAGGAAACTTATTCAAGCTTGTCAATTCTACCTTTCCCTCTGCTCTCTCGTGACATAATCTACATCTGACATCTGTGTAATGCCATTTAATAGGAGATAATAGCAGATCAAATAACTCAAAAATAAGTTTGAGTCTCTGAATGTTTCATATTAAGGCTAAAGTGCAAATGGAAGAGAAACTGGCCGCATTTGTGGCTGAACACGCTCCCCTCAGTGGCGGCTCCTCATCTGCTGATGCTGACTCTGGCATGGATACAGCGGGCAATCGTCGTTCTATGGTGACTCTTATTAACTTACAGTCTTTTGCTCCGCCGAACTTAGGAGCATTTGCAAATGGTCTATGCAATTAATGACATGCGCTGCCTCGCGTGTTTGGATGTGCGTGCGCATCTTAGTGTGCAATCTGAAAGCTACACTCCTCCATTTAAATATGCCATGGTTTCGGTTTCTTCCATGCTATAAGAAGGTGGACAGGTCTTGTTTTGATCTAACAAATTGCCAACTGGGGATTACTATTTAGAAGTATGTACCTTTAAAGGCTTGAAAACGAACGAAATTATCCTTAGCTTAGTCACTCGATTTTTTGAAATTGGGCTTTCTATAATCACACGAGCTTTGAGGCTTTTTAGCCATCGTCGCGTCGTTGATACCCTCGAATGCCTATGCAAAATCAAAACTTCTTTTAGTTTCCTCTCGTTTGTGGTAATAACAAGTTTGCCACTAGTTTTTCTTTTAATTTTTAGTATCTCATCACACATTAAATTCTTAAATCTTTTTTACTTCTGGTTTCTATAACTTTTCGCTCCAAACAGTAATAGAATCCACACATTCTAGAAATCTCGAAAATAAATCAAAAA